CGTCTAACATCCGAAGTGGTTCGCAAACAGCTCGGCATGCACATATTCGAACCCAGCAACGAATATCGTATGACCTCTTGGCTAGCGCAGCAGGAAGATCGCAATACCATCACTCTATATCAGTGTGACTCTTCTCTCAGCGCTTGGACACAACGTTGCATGCGCCAAGCGGACGTCGTACTTATCGTGGGACTTGGTGATCATGCGCCAATCGTTGGTAAATTTGAACGAGAAATCGATCGTTTGGCAATGCGCACACAAAAGGAGCTCGTACTGCTTTATCACGAGTCGATTAATGCGAAACCGAAAAATACACTGCAATGGCTGAATGTCAGGCCCTGGGTCACCAAACATCACCATTTGCAGTGCCCTAAGCGCATGTTCACGCGCAAAAGTCAATATCGCATTGTAAGTGAAACTGCTAGCATCAACAGATTTATTTACATACAAAAAAATGTACAATCAAATTTTTTTTTATATCTCACAGAACGATCTGTACAGCCGTGTATTAATGTCCGAGCCAAATATGCATTCGGATTGTTCGCGCCTGGCACGTTGGCTGACTGGTAACTCAATCGGGTTAGTTTTAGGTGGCGGCGGTGCACGCGGTGCTGCACATATCGGTATGTTAAAGGCTATACAAGAAGCTGGTATACCGGTAGATATGGTGGGAGGTGTTAGCATTGGCGCGCTAATGGGTGCACTCTGGTGTTCGGACCGTAATGTAACAGCCGTTACACAGAAGGCTCGGGAATGGTCAAAGGTGTGTAGTTGCTGCAACAATTAAAAACAATTATAATTAAACTAATTAACTTACTTTTGCTTTGCATTGCATTTTTTTTTTTGCAGAAAATGACAAAATGGTTCCTGCAATTGCTCGATCTCACTTATCCAATTACATCGATGTTCTCTGGACGTGAATTCAACAAAACCATTCGTGATACCTTCGGTGATGTGGCCATTGAGGATTTATGGATTCCGTATTTTACACTAACGACTGATATTACCGCAAGCTGCCATCGCATACACACAAATGGTAAGTTGATTTTGCTTCTACATACGCGCGCTTCCCCTCTTTAACCATCATTTCATGCTAAACACAAATAGAATATAAATATTTATGAAAGTTTCTAGTGGCTTTCGCAAACACAAGTAGGATGTGAGCGCTGGCGTTTCCCATTTCTTTATAATTTTTTTTCTTAATTTTAATTTTTGTGTTTGTATGCGGTTATTATTTTTCTTTAAAGTTTTTATTGCAAAGTCTTTTTTGCGTTAAAAAAAATATATATTTGATGTAAAATTTTATCCCACCATCTTATTTAAACCAGAAGACCTAAGTGCGACTACTTATGTTTCAATCGTGAAAAATTGGCAGAACTCACTTTATATAAGATTTTCATGTTTGACATATTCTGAGATTTTTACATTCCGATATTTTATACGTCATAGTTCTGTTGTATGCCTATATCTTGTTATATTAGCATAACGCATTGATAAGCCGTTGGAACTTCACGTACAGTGAAAAGGAAAGCTTTCCTTCGAGAAATAGTAAAAAAAAATAAATATAAAATGCCGCCATTTTGTATGCAAAATCCTAGTAAAGTAGATTAATATTTATCGATACATGTACATACATAGTTTTGCATGACTTGTAAACATACTCAGTTTTCATATTAAATTAAAAAAAAATAATAATTTTAAAAAATGTTTAAGAATATTTTCTAAATTGAGGATGTTTTTAAAAAATGCTGCTTTTGATTCATTTAATAGAAAAAATCGTATTAAATTGTACGGTAGCATTTAACAATTAATTGTTAATAACTTTTTTAAACAATTAACAAGATAATTGAAAAATTAATTGATTAACGCCCAACACTGCTATGAGGCATGGTGTAATAATAAAAGGTATCGTCAGTAGCGACGTGTTTGTTGTAATTTTGACAAGTTCGAGACGCTTATTTGCAGTGTTGCCTATTCTCCTTTATATACTACTATTATTTAGGAAAATAGTATCTAAAATACTACATTTTAGTAACTCGTTTCATCGCGATTTTTTTTTTAGAAATTAGTGCTTTTATAACATCATTAATAATTAAAATTGCTGGATTTGTCAAATTTTTGTCAACAAAATGTTAGTAAATAAAAGATATCGTGGTTACCAAAGACTTAAACAAAAATCGTATGGAAAGGCATTTTTAATATTAAATAACTTTTGCTACATTATCATAGTATTAAGTTAAATGAACAGTTGATGCACTAAAGTGATTACTTGCTAAAATAAAGAATTCAATGATATTTGTAGTATTTATGTGTTTTAATCTATTTAAAAAAATCATTACAAGCCTTCTAGGAAATTGCCTCATTTTGCGATTCCTTTTTTTTTTTAGTCCTATTAGTGTGGAGCTTAACAAAAACACATATTCATACTTGAAACTCCGTAACTATATATGTAGTTGTTTTGAAGTAATATGCACAAATGGGTAAAATTAGGAAATAATTAGTACATTTTCTACTACCTTATAATGCGTTGCCGGCATAGGCGTCCCGAAAAAGTAAGGTTAAGTTATTGACGACACCTTTTATTATTACATTATGGCTTTGAAGAACAGGCTATGAGCTCAACCAGCCACCGACGTAAAATCGTAGACCATATCGGCTGATACAACCTACCTTATGGGATTTTCGTGTTAACGAAAACTTACTACCGCTTGACGGTGACGTTGCCGTTGCTTCTGCCTCTCTCTATCAGCAGCAATTTGATATGTTGATACGTTGGTGGCTGGTTGAACCATATGTCGTAAGAAGTAACATAATTACACGTCGCTTATTTACTTAAAAAAAAAAAAAAACAAAATCGGGAAAAACGGCTCTAAAGTTTTCAATTCACATATCGACTGCTGAGTGGAAGATTCGACCTATTTCGGCAGCCAGGTCGAAAACACTCTATCTCAAACAACTTTTCAAAATTTGGTTAAAGAACGCCCTATTTCAGAATTCGTTTCGAAAAACGCCCTATCTCAGCTGCCGATTCAAAAACGCCCTATGTCAGTACATTTTCATTTTGAAGTGAGATAGGGCGTTTTTGAACCGATCTTCCACTCAGCAGTCGATATACAGTTATTACTCCCATAGTAAAAATGAATACATATTTTTTTCTAGTGAGGCACTAGTAATCGATACAGCTATGAAATTTTTACACAACATAGAAGAAGATGTAGCGGTACTCTCTGCATACTCAACTAAAAATTTATATTTTTTTGGATTATGTCACTATTGAAATGAAATGAGCGATACGTACATATATGTATTCATAATAGGGCGGTCATTAAAATATCAACGTCATGTGGCATCCATTTATTTTGGTTCTACATATAAAACACAACATTTTGAACAAATTTTTAAGGGGTCGCTACCAGGATTTTAAAGAATTAATTTTTTTTTTTTACTCAGCGATTTTAGGAATGTATATGAACATATTTGAATAATATGCCAAATTTATCAGCTTTCAAGTCAAACTTTTGTCGAATTTTTGTGATTTAAAAACAAAAAATCAAACCCTGGTTGGGACCTCTTATTTTTTTAGTTGAAATGTTCGTGAATGTCTTTATTTTGTACGAAGAACAAACTAAATGGGTTCCTCCCTAATACATACATATACGTATGTGTATGTATGTGCGTAAATTAGTGAAAATTGGTCAAGCCTTAGTAAAAAAAAAAACTCAACTACACTAAATTGTATCTACCGAGTCTGTAACTGGTAAATTTATTTGTCGATAATACTGAATAGCTGTAGCATTTTATGATAACCAAATATAAGGAACTAATTATTTACGTGGATATTTGGAATTTTTGTAACACGATTTTTCGGTAAAAAGAAGCTGTTACCTTCATCACATATACATACATACATACATATTTCGAAAATATTTAATTTAAAAGCGACTTATAATATTTGGTTGACATTAAAAACAAACCACATAATAAAATACATAATCACTTTTTATTGTTTAAAACAAATTCAATTAATGTCTTGATGTGATGTCCCTTAATGGCTGTATGAATTAATTTTGGCGTAAAATTTAAGAAAAAAATATATTATTTTAGCATCGCCTGCACACATACATATATTATCCCAATCCCCACTAAGCATCCATACGTTCGCTCCAATAAACTCGAATTCATCTAAAAAAATTTACGCACACACATTATACCGTTACACTTAAATTAAACAGGATCTCTTTGGCGTTATATACGTTCATCTATGTCGCTCAGCGGCTATATGCCGCCATTGTGCGATCCAAAAGACGGGCATCTCCTGCTGGATGGCGGATATGTTAACAATTTGCCAGGTAAATAGTGAAAAAAAACAACAACTACAAAAATTGGGTGTGTGTGTGTGTTTGTTTCTTGGCATCATATTTATTTTTTATTTGCTCAAAAAGCATATTTTGGTAAGATTCATTTTTTTAAGAAAGAAAGAGAGAAAACAAATGCAGAGTGGAAATTTTCTTATGATGAATTATAGTGTAGTCATCAAGCCACATATATGTATGTACATATGTATGTACTACATTACATATCTCTTTTCGACTCAATGATATTTGAGTATGGTTGTTATTATTCTTGTTGCTTGTTTTTGTTAGTTTCAGGCGTAGCTGAAATCTTGCGCTGTTTTGCGTAAAATAATGTGACTTTACTTATGTATGTAGTTTTCTGAGCTGTTCAGTGTCTTTTGATGGTAGAATTAGAGTGAAGTTTGCTTCTGTCATATTTTAGTTTTTGGTTTTTATTTGTGTGCATGCTTTAGCTGTAGGACTTCAGAGGATTGTAAGTAAGTATAAAGAATATTAATAAAAATGTATTACTTCAACATAATCCCCCCACATCGATTCTATGTCGATCCAGTTCTCAACTTTTCCAACTTTATTTTAACATAATTTGCTTTCTCATGCCAATACAAAACATAATTTTCGTTTTAAAATCGTGGTGTAAAAAACTCAGAATGTGTTTTCGTAAAAAACTTTATCTGTTAACCTTTCTTATATCTGTTAAATCATCTCTAAAAAGCCATGATTGTGAAAAATTACATAAACTACACATACACTAAAGTAATTACAAAGGTCCACAGGTCCTTTCCTTTGCTGGAAGAACTTTTTTTTTTGGGCTATGTATGCAGAATAGCCGTCATAAAAATGAAAGTAAAACGATCCCTCATTGATCAAAGTAAGGTTTGATGGAAACTATATTCTCTGGATTAAATTTTAAAACTATACTTGTTGAAAAATTTCAAAGTCGTTTTTTAGTTATGAAGTTCTTCCAGCAAGCGATCGATATGGCTGCCGCGGTTGATAACAAGTGAAATATAATTATCTATTCATTGAAATTTAAGAATTTTTTGCGTAGTCTAAGAATTTTTCTTTAGAATTGTTAAATTGGCTCTGGTTTTCAAGATATTTGGGATTAAAAGTGTCAAAAAAAGGCATTTTAGTTATTTTTGAACTTCTACGAGTTGAAATGAATGTTAATAAATGCTTAA